TGTCGTTTGCTGGTGCTCAGAGTCGGCTTGGTTTTCTCGAAGGATCAGCAGCTACTCTCGATTCTGGACTTTGTCACATCTGATAGCACCGATTTCATAGATCTTTATCCAAGATGGCGCTGCAAAACATTGGTGCTTCAAACAGGGATGATGCCTTCTACAGGTACAAGATGCCCAGAATGATCACCAAGATAGAAGGTCGTGGTAATGGTATCAAGACAAATATTGTGAACATGGTTGACATAGCAAAAGCACTTGCCAGGCCAGCTTCCTACACTACCAAGTACTTTGGCTGTGAGCTTGGTGCACAGTCCAAATTTGATGAGAAGACAGGGATTTCCTTGGTTAATGGGGCTCATGATACTGCAAAGCTGGCTGGTCTCCTTGAGGTATTCATCAAGAAGTATGTCCAGTGTTATGGATGTGGGAATCCTGAGACTGAGATTCTCATCTCAAAGACACAGATGATATCACTGAAATGTGCAGCCTGTGGGTTTGTCTCAGATGCTGACATGAGGGACAAGCTCACAACCTTCATCCTGAAAAACCCACCAGAACAGAAGAAGGGAGGAAAAGACAAGAAGGCCATGAGGAGAGCTGAGAAGGAACGCCTGAAGGAAGGTGAGGCTGCTGATGAGGAGCAGAAGAAACTGAAGAAGGATGCGAAGAAGAAGGATGGTGCATCTTCCAAGGAGTCCACTGCCAAGGGTTCGAAGAAGAAGGCTACTGCTGCTGGCTCTGATGAGGACCACTCAACCTCTCCAACTCACAGCCGTGATGGTGACCATGCAGCTGCAGATGAGGAAGAGGATGATGATGATGTCCAGTGGCAGACTGACACTTCTATCGAGGCTGCAAAGCAGCGCATGCAGGAGCAGCTGAGTGCAGCAACTGCTGAAATGGTGATGCTGTCCACTGAGGAGACTGAGAAGAAGAAGAAACAGGCAACCCACAAAGATGGCACTGATAATGGTTCAGCAAAAGAAATACCTGTTGAGAAACCTGCTGTCACTAAGCCTAGTCCCTATGAAAAACTGGTTGGAGACATCAAGGCTAGCCTGGGAAGTGGTCCTACCCCTACCCAGCTCAAGGCTGTGCTGGCCTCCTCAACCCTTCCTCCCCAGGATGTGATGAATGCTCTCCTCGAGGCTCTCTTTGATGGTGTGGGCAAGGGATTCGCGAAGGAGGTTGTGAAGAACAAGAAGTACCTTGCAGCTGCTGTGCCAGATGAGGGTGCCCAGACCCTGCTGGTTCAGGCCATTGAGGCTTTTGGTGGCAAGTGCAACCCTGAGGCACTGAAGGAGGTCCCAGTTGTCCTGAAAGCCCTGTACGATGGAGATATCCTGGAGGAAGAAACCATCGTGGACTGGTACAATGCTGCTGTTGCAGCTGGAAAGGACTCCCAGGCCGTCAAGAACGCCAAGCTCTTCGTTGAGTGGCTCCAGAGCGCCGAGTCTGAGGAAGAGGACGACGAGTGAAGAGACAATGCCACTTTACTGCTGCTCATGCTGCACTTAATATTATATTTCAATTAAGTTCCTTTTGGAAGGGCGGGCCTGCTGCAAGCGGTAGAGTCTTACCGGCTGTGATCGGAAGGTCCCGGGTTCGAGTCGCGGTCTCCTCGCATTGCACAAGCGAGGGTAAGGCTTGCCACTGACACCCTTCCCCAGACCCCGCACAAAGCATGAGCTCTCTGCACTGGGTACGCTCTTTTTTTTTTCCTTTTGCTTGTCTGGTGTGATCGTGTGTCAGTGTTCTAGTGACGATGTGTAAAACTGTTAATTGTCGTGTGGTGCAGCATACCCTATGTGGTTGGCTGCGTGTGGTGTCGTCAGTTTGGTGTCTGTTGGATGTCACGGTTTATTATGGTCCTATGGATTGCAATTATATAAGTATTTGCTTGGGTTGTGCTTTTATAACCTTTTGAGATTTTGCATTTTCTTATTGCAATGCATTGTTGTCCCTGAGCATGTAAGGCTACGGTATAGTCATCTGCACAACGGAGGATGCTTGTGATGCAGTCGTTGTCATGCTTGTGATTTTTTTTCGTGGCGATATTTTGATTTGATCGAGCCAACTGCCCATAGAAGCCTCAACTAGCCTATTTATCGGGTCATCAGATAGGGACGACCGATTTTAAATCCCCCTCACCTGCCTCCATGTATTGTTGTTTTACACCCCTCACCTGCCTGCACGTATTGTTGTTTTACACCGTGCTGGATTGGAGAAATTGGGCAGGTTTCTTGAAAACAAAAAAAGCTGGGCAGGTCTATTCTTGAAAGAAAAAGGAAAAGGTTGGGCAGCTCTATTCGTTGGTAGGGAATTTTTCTGTCTTTTCTGAGGAGATATTTTGAAGGTTGTAGTTTGGTAACAGAATGGAGAGGAAACGCTTTCTTCTCGGTTTTATTATCTCGACTCCCTTTGCAGCATTTAAGTTCAGCAATTTTGTCCACGTATTACCTAGGGGTAAATAGAACTTGAGAGGAAAAAGAAAAGGTATTTTAGTTTCCTGTACTTTTGCATTGCACTGTGAAAGAGTAGCAATTCAAATTCAGCAATTTTGTCCACGTATAGCATCTGTGCTCATTGGACAACTCATTATTACTCCTATATGATGGCCTCCCTGGATCATTTTGGTCCACTATGGGCTCTACCGGCTGGACCTGTCAACTCTGTTCTTTGTTTTGAAACTTCCTTTACGTATACACATCCAGATTTTGTAATGAAACGTATTTCCTTAGCATGTCGTATATGCCCTTGATGCAAATGCTGCAATATACTCCCTCAATTTCAAATTATAAGGCATTTTAACTTTTCTATATATAATTTTTGCTATGCACTTAGATATACATTATGTCTATATATACACCTATATTAAAAGCAATATATTTAGAAAAGCTAAAACATTTTATAATTTAGAACGTATGGAGTATTAATTATTATCATCATCTCTATGATCTACAAAATAACATTAGCAACTCTCTTTCTGGAGATGTTCACTCCAGTTTTTGAGCATACAAATTCGGGGTTACAACTGAATTACTCAACTAAATGAAGGAATTGATAATACATTACAGTTTTGGAACAAACATACAATAGTGCAAACTTAGATGGAGTTATACACAAAGATGTAAGCATGAATTACTATGTCCTGGTTCGTGACAGGTTTGTTTATTTTCGTTTGAAAAAAAAACGATTCATGTAGTTATAGTGCATATATACATTGAATCTGTCTAGCAAATTGTTGAGTCGAAACTGTTTTTACTTTGCATTCGTTGCTTTAGTAGTTAAAAAGATGCATGGTCAAGCCATTGGATAATTGAAGCTGTTTATCCAGTATCCTCTTGATCATAATAGCCTAGTGGACTGCTCTATTCCTGTTATCGGAATTGTATGTTCCTTTCCAAATTGCCTTTTCAAAAGAATCTTCCCGTTTTCAATGAAATAAAGGGATCGCGAGTACCTTGCAATTGCAAGATTTTTTTTCTTTTTTTTAATAACGGAAGACCGGTTATTACTGCATAAGAAGCCACCATGAAAATCACGTGCACTTGACTCTACAACTGCAAGTACCAATTTTGAGCTGAAATTAGCTTTGATTTAAGGGGCTAATTTCATGCGTTGAGTAATTAAAATGGTGCAAAAGAATAGATAGTTGAGTCCTCGTTTTTTTTATTTGTTTTGACTGTCTGGTTAGATTTTTGTTTTGTTTTGTTATGCTCTCAGCGGTAAAAGAACTTGTTTATTATAATATAGGGTTATAGACACAGGCATTTTATACGTATTATGTATGTTCCTATCCCTACCAGTACCTTGAAAGATTGAGAGCTTAAGATTTACCAAATCAGGTGTCTCACTGTCAATGATAACATCGCCTACCACTTTATTAAATCCTTAAAAAAATCTAGAAAAACACACATGTCAAGTCATATAATTGAACCAGACGGGCTCGTTTCACCACAAGAAACCCAGCCAACTAGGCTCCACATATGAAATGTTTCCCTTCTGCTATATGTAGAATGATTTTGGTGCTTACACATGTTTAGATGTTGTGGTATTAAGATATTGTAGTATTAAGAAACTATAGTTTTAAAACCCACATACAAGCAAAACTATAGTCTAGAAAAAAAGAGGTCTACTGACTACTGCGAAGTTTATAAAACTAAAAAAAAGAACTATAATTTTAGCAATAGTAGTATTTTTAGAACCATAAATTTGTTGCATCTAGACACTTCATAGCAATATAAAACCATGATATTTTTCTAAAACTCTAAATATACTTTGCATCTAAATAGGACCAGGCTGGAATGGTACAGTTATGAGAAGAGCATTGTAAGTATAAATTTGATTTGATATGATCTTACCCAAGTGACTTTTATTTGGTTTGAATAACTCCAGGATTTTCAAATAAGCTCTCTACTTTTGTTTGAGGGTCTACTTTGGCCATGTTTGATCCACAGAACTAACAACTAGCTAACTAATTTTTAGTTCTTAAGTATCTAAATATGTGGACTAATTGTTAGTTCATTAGTTCATTTATATGATCAAGTATGACTAATTGTTAGTCTAGTCCATTCAAACGGACCTTTTGGTGCTCAACTCTAGTTGTACATGAAGACGCACTGTTTACTTGAACCAAATTCTATTTATGTGGGGGCCTAATAGAGATTTTTTTGCCGGTAAATAATATACTATCACAGAATTATATGCTGTTTCAACTATATTAGTTTTCAGTTGCTTTTTTTATTACAGAAATCCCACGTGTCGTGATCACACAGATTGCTTCGTACAGTCGCCATTTCCAACCAAGAAATCCAAAGCAATTTTTTTTTTAAAACGTATAAATTCACCAGTACTCATGTTCCAGCTCTTGCCTTCCACGCCAGTACGCCACCAACTTTTCCACCTTTGGCAAAGGTGGACACCTCCTTTTCGCACAAAAGCCCCCGCATTCCTGTCAAATCCCCCTCCGTTCCCCTACCAAGAAACCCCACCTTTGCATGGGCAAGCGCCTACCTGCCGCCGCCACCGCCGCCGCCGCGGTTCGCTCGTACGCCCGCAGCCTTCGCGTCCCATCCGATACCGCCGCCGCCGCATCCGCCGGGAGGGCAACCAAGACGCCGGCAGCCCCGCTGGATACGCCCAGGAAGTCCGCTGCTGCTGCTGCCGCCGCCGCCGCCGCCAGCTCCGGCCGGGCCGAGGTGCGGGATTTGGCGGCGGCGTGCGGGCTAGAGGCCGACGAGCGGGTGCCTCTCGCGGAGGTGGTGTCGGACTGCACGAGGCGGTGGTTCCAGGACGCACTCAAGGAGGCGCGCGCCGGCGACATCACCATGCAGGTGCTCGTCGGCCAGATGTACCGCAGCGGATACGGTGTCAACAAGAACGAGCACAAGGTGAGCCATTAAGATTCCGAAGTTGAAGCGGCTGCCTTAGTCAATGCTTTGGTTCTGGTTTATTTGGCCTTCGGAGTATGCCAATTCGTGAATATTGAATGGTTTCACTTTGGATCAGTTTTGGTTCGGTTAGTTAGAATTCTTAGTTACTGGCGGCTCCAAAACTTCCTCAGTGACTTGTCACAAACTTAGGTAGGTTGTCAGGCTGTCAGCTACTCAACTTGCTCTGCCTATTGTTGCAGTAGCAACGCTTGCTAGTGGGGAAATGTCATTGTCTGATTGTGTAGTTGTTAAGTGGTGTCCTTAGTCCTTACTGGTAGTTTTGCAAGAAACTATGGCCTTTTATTGCATATAATTGACGTGTGACTATCATCAGCCAAAAGGAACAGAAACGAATATCAGAAACAGTGATCTGTAAGAATCTTAGCATTTCCTATCTAATTGGGGCATTGGCTGACATGAGGAATAGAAGTGGAAGATTCATACCAACATATTTCACTACATTTGTTGACAATAAAACTATAGATTGCATTGTTCAGTTGTACTAGTCATGCTGTTAAGATGCTGAAAGCAGCACCTGCTTGTAATTTTTTTTGAAGGGTACCACTTTCTTGTTATCACATATTCGGTGCTTGACATCTACATTCTAGAGCTAAAAATTGCGACTGCAACATCTTTGGTTGCCAGGAGCCCAGGACCTTGTGACAAAAATTGAATAATAGGCTGCAAATAGGTGCACATGTAAAGAAATCTTATAAGACTGGATATGAATGCACCAAATCTCTATTGTGCACTGAAGCTGGGAATAGATTTTGCAACAGCACAGAATAGGTTTGGAATCCAATGGGTGGAAGTATGGGGTGTTAAAAAAATGAAAAAGCAGGAGAGCTCACCTATCTTTGGTTGGCAGGAGAGCTGCAAAAGCAGGCCCAGAGGGGCACTGAGCTCACCTATGTTGGATCCTGTGATCATTCCTGTTGTATTGCAACAAAAGTTTGACTGACCAACAACTTCATTATATAGGCAAGAGTTTGGATGGAGAAAGCATCAAGATATCGGTCTACAGTCTGGAAAGTTAGCAATAAACGTCCAGGTCATATCCCACCTTCATTTCAATGTTTACAGGGTTCCTTGGTGTCTTCGTCATGCCAACAACTGTATAGATGCATGTGGTCTTCTACTATTTGCTAGACCTGACAGGTTCTTGTTTTGCAGGGTACAATGCTAGTGACTCAGACTCAGGCTCAGATGATGCTAAGGAAACATGCAAATAAGAAAATTTGAGATTTTGACATTAATGGGTGGGTAAATTTCATTTACCTCCATGTGCCATTTTCCTGGTAGCTAAGCATCATGAGTTAATTAATTGAAGCATATTTGTTAGTTCATTTTTATGCTATACATTTAGCTGAAAAACATTTTCATTAGACAGTATCATCAAGAAGATATGGTAGCTTGTTAGACCTTTTCCATGCCCCATGCATACTTGTTAGTCATATTTGTGCTGACATTTAATTTTTCTTGTCACAATGATCAAGGTTAAGAGGTTCTACAAAAAAATCCATAGTTATGATCGGAGTAATCCTATGTAAGCAGAAGTAACAACATTAGAAAGACCAGAACTCTACTGTTCTGTTTAACTTCTCTTCTAGCACAGAAAGGCAAAGGTTATATATCGAATTTGATCTTTGTCAAAAGGGCCTATGCTTTATCACGCCGTGTAAATTCGCACTTTATGTTGGTCGTTTCTTTGGACCATTTGATATCTGGTTGAGAAGATCCTTTTACTTTGCAGGAGCTGCGCACCTGCACTGCTGCCGTGACTACAAACTGGCGAAACAACACAATCTACCAATTGAAGATTCAGACGCAGTTCTGTCAACGAATCCATCTGTGTCCCCGTACTTGAAGATTCAGACGCAGTTCTGTCAACGAATCCATCTGTGTCCCCGTTTATTTAGCAGTATCGCTAGCTATTGTTGTATTTTCAGTTTCTTCTTTCACTATGTTAGTCACACATGCTGTATTATTGTTACCTCTATGTCTCAGAGGTTTCCTCGTTTTTCTGGCCTTTTTTTTTGTGTGTTGATTTTGCTTGTCGTCAGGGAAGTGGTTATCAGAACGGGTTTTCACTGAAGATACAAAGAATAGCAGGATATTCTATGGCATAGCTAGCCACTGTTGCCCCGTTTGGCGGAGCTTTCAAAGCTGATTCTATGTAGGAGCTCTGCCAAACAGTTTTTCAGAGAAAAGTGATTCTCTACTGATTCTGCAACGTGATTCTCTGAAATGAAGTAAGAGGCTAGGAGCTGAAAAAAAAGTAGCTTCTCCTGTTGTGAAGTAATTCTTCGTCGTGATTTTGAGAGTTTATGCTAAACAATCAAAGAGAACCACTTTTAGTTTTGAGAGTTTATGCTAAACAATCAAAGAGAATCACTTTCAGTCACATTCAGCCATAGAACCACTTTTATCAAAGAATCAGCATCTATAGAGAATCAGAATCAAATAGAGTGTCAACTAGCCCTCAAATAGAGTGTCAACTAGCCCTGAGAATATCGCTCTTTCAAGGAGGCAGGGGAGAATGAGGATTCGACTTTCCTGGGGCAGGGAGTATTATAAAAAGATGTTAATCATAGATTATATAAAAAAGTATAGAATAAGTTCTTCTTGGCTCGATGCCCAAGCGGTTAAATCCAGCTGGGCCTAAAAATGTAGGGTTTCGTGAATACGAACCAAATGTTAAAAAATGTAGGGTTTCGTGAATACGAACCCAAAACCATTATTTTTTATGGAATAAAAAAATGCCCTCTGAATTTGCATTGGAGCATATGGGAATTTTGAATTGAGGCATACTATTTTTTTTTAAAGTCAAACTTCACTTATTTTGACCATGTTTATAAAAACACAGACAAATATCTACAGCATCAAATAAGATTCAATATATACGTATATTTTGAATTTGCATTTATTTTGTATTATAGATGTTAATACATTTTTTTATAAACTTGATCAAGTTAGATAAATTGATTTAGAATAAAACTAAAAACAACTTGCAATTTAAAGTATGGATATTTTTTTTTATAAACTTAGGTCCCCAAAGTGCTCACGAAATAATTGATAGCACTCAAAAACTGAAAAACTCCACAAGTGACATGATTTGACTGATTAAGGTTCTTATAAATAAAAGAAAATAGTGTCATAGATTAAATCAGTTGAGATGGCCGAGTTGGTCTAAGGCGCCAGATTAAGGTTCTGGTCCGAAAGGGCGTGGGTTCAAATCCCACTCTCAACATTGTTTGTTTTTGTGTATCTTTTGGCATGGGTTCAAATCCCACTCTCAATACTGTTTTTTTGTGTGTGTATTTTTTTTACATTTGCTCTTTTGGCATGGATTCAAATCCCACTCTCAACATTGTTTTTTGTGTATTTTTTTACATTTGCTCTTTTTGTTACCATATATGTACATTTTCTCGTTTTTTTACCATATCTCAACAGTTTCTTCTTTCAACCATATATGCATCAATTTCTCTTTTTTGTTACCAACAGCAAATAAGCCCGAGCAACAGGGCATACAAATTGTTTGTTCTAATGGTAATATGGTAACTATTTTTGTTAGATTTAATTAGACTTGATGTCCTTAAATAAATAATTTCAAGTCCTAGAATAAATGCTAGTGCAACAAAGGATTAATCCTGTATGAGAAATTAACAGGAGATTGACTGAACTTTAATAGATGGCTATTATGTGTACCGGTTATGAGTTCAAAAAAGGTGAAGGGTGAGCCATGTGCCCGCACGCATGCCGCCATGCAAACATATGTCAACGAAGATGTTGTAACTTTAAACTCAAATCGAGAAGCAGAGAAGCGACATACGAAAGAAAAAAAAAACTTCGGTTTTTAACATAAATCTTCATTTTTTACGGTTAGGTATAGATAGACTATACATATCACTTGACATCCAGTCCCACCAATCTTATTATCCAAACGAGCAATTAGTATGTCCACAATTAATTCGACTAGTTACATCAGTTGTTCATGTGCCAGTTTCCTGCAGGCCTGCAGGCTGCAGCTCATCTCCTCGTGGCTCTCCATGTGAGTTTCATTTGCATAAATTAGGTTGCCACGTAGACATTTTTTATGACATGGCAGTGCATCTAAGAGGGAAGAAGAAATGAGTTTCATCTAGATAAAACTCTCTTAGCATGTTTACCAACTATCTATGAGTTATGAAATTAAATGCATATGAAATTATAGAATGAAATTTTTGCATTGAGAGTGGATGTTTCATCCAAGTTTCATTGTCTTGAAAACAACGTCCTGAAACTATCCACTGAGACTGGCCTCACTCACGAAGGCAATCTGAACAATGTTCGCTTGAACTTATCAGCCTGGGCTTATACTTCGGAACGGAGGGAGTACGTCTTCGGTCTAGTTAACTTTCGCAGAGCCAACTACATCTTAAGGTCTAGTTTGGCCTAGTTAGCCTGTGTTAAACTAAGGAATGACATGGATGAATTTATTTTAATTTATTATTTGATTCAGGGTCTATTTGGACTACTTCGTTCCATATTTTCTTCGCTCTCAATTCTCGCACCCACACCTGTTGGACCAAAATCCGTGGGGCTCTGACCCAAAACCGCCCTGCTGCCGTCCCTGCGTCGAGCTCGATGATCTTGCCACCCGAGCCAGCCTTTTCGCCAGCGGCTGCCTAATCTCGCCCTCCACTCAAGTTCTGTAACTTGGAGACGGAGAAGACGGCGAGGAGAGGTGAATTTTGAAGAGACAGGTTCCATCTGCATCTGCACCGAATATCTTTCCGGGATGGTTGATTGTTCCATACTTCCATCCCGCTCGTTTGGAACCGAACAGCCTTGAATCTGGGGCTTGCCCCGTCCACCATCCCCATCCCACCAACCAAACATGCAAAACCATAATTTCCCAGCCGCAAGTCGAACTGCTAAACATGCAAAAATCTCTGTTTTTACAGCCAGAACGCAACAATCTATAAACAGAACTACATTTACGAATAGTCATACATGTCCACGCCTGCACACAGACAACCAGCATTCAACCTCATCTTGAGTTCTTGACTCATCGCTGCCATTTCATATATCCAAGGAGTCGTAATAGGATAACTGTTGTTTGAGTTGTGTGTTTCCAACAAAAAAAAAATGCTGTAATAAGCAAACATTCTCGGACCATTTAAGCAGATTACAAACGCCAAGGCTTCTAGCGTTGCTGATGAGTCTCACATATAGAGGCCCTCCGGCACGCCTTCTTTCTTCTTGAACATGACCTTTTCTTTGGCCTTCTTGAAGTCTGCATGCGTCACCTAATGCAACGGAAACCAAATAGCAGATCATGAGTGGATATTTTCTGTGACCTTGTATCCAAGTTATAGGCTATTACAAAAGGTTAACTCTGGTGAATTTGCTTATAGGTACAGGTACCAACAAGGTTAGCCAAAGTAGCAGATTTATGGAAAAACATAAGGGGCATTTGGTGTACAGTACCTTCATCCGCCGCTCTCTCAAAGCAAGCAAGCCAGCTTCAGTACAAATGGCCTTGATGTCGGCACCTGAAAACTCATCTTTTGACATAATAAACTCTTCTAGGTTTACATCATCAGCCAGTGTCATTTTCGATGTGTGTATCTGCTCATCAAAACAAAACCTTGGTAAGAACAAAGCATGCTTTTCTATTAAAAGAGTAGGACTGAGAAGCTTTCGTCACATAGAAGCACCTGGAAGATGCGTCGCCTGGTCTTGACATCAGGTAAAGGGAATTCAATCTTTCTGTCAATTCGACCTGGGCGAAGCAAGGCTGGGTCAAGACTTTCAATGCGATTTGTTGCTAGAATAACTTTAACATCTCCTCTTGAATCAAAACCATCCAGCTGATTTAACAACTCCAACATGGTTCTCTGAATCTCACGCTCGCCACCAGAATGAGCATCATACCTACAACAGGGCAAGAAACAGCAAAACTCACATCAATCCATTCACTAGAAGCTCCAGCAGCAATTTTTTCGTAACCAAAGAAAATAACTGTGGTAAACTTTCATGTCTGATATATCCTACCTCTTTGTCCCAACTGCATCAATCTCATCAATAAAGACAATTGAAGGAGAAAGATCATCAGCCACCCTGAACAATTCTCTAACAAGCTTGGGACCATCACCGAGGTACTTTTGGATCAATTCACTCCCAACAACACGCAAGAACGTTGCTGATGTGGAATTGGCAACAGCCTGCAGCGTTTAAAAGTTTTACGTAATTAAAAGATGATTTTTAGGAAGAGAGGCATAGTACCTTGAGAATATCTTATGTGATCAGGAAGAAAAAAAGAATGAAAAGCGTTCGGTTGATTCACTGCTTTATCGATGGGCAAAAATAACTAAGGCATGGAAATAAAAACTTGGAACTGTCCTCAAGGAATCAGCACAAACCTTTGCGAGTAGAGTTTTCCCTGTTCCAGGTTCCCCATATAGTATAACTCCCTTCGGAGGTCTGATCCCAATGTCCTCATATAGCTCAGGATGTGTTAATGGAAGTTCAACTGCTTCTTTGATTTCTTGAATTTGAGCATCCAAGCCACCAATGTCAGCATAAGACTCCAAAGGTGCCTTTTCAACTTTCATGACAGAAACCATAGGATCAACTTCGTCTTGCAAAATACCAACCACTGACAGAACCTAAGGGAAACATTTGGCCAAGCTGTTTACTGAATAAGCATTCAAATGAAGAAAGTACATAAAACGCAGAGTACATCACTTGAAGAGCAGCATCGTGTCTGCTAAAATAAACGTGAAAAAAAAGTGCTGTATATACCAAGGGAAACCTCTGAGGGACGTGAAATGCATTATCACTTGAAGTTGAAGTGACAATTTTCTACCTGCCATTTATAGATCACTAATACCCCAAACTGCAATGTCTATTTCCAAATATTTGTATACCAAGTATATGCCAAATTGATGCACACGGTGGGAAAAGAAATTATTTTCTTCATAGCACATGACAACACAATCAATAATAACACAGCAGAAATGTCGGAAAAAATAACACAGCAGCCTAAAAACTATGCAAATGATCTATAGATAGAAACCAAATAAATTATGTTCTTTAGTTTCCACACGAGGTCATATTGAACAGATATATTATACAGCAATAACTGTGAATTCACAGTTCATAAGCCTAGATGAATTAGCAATGAATTTAAACATATATAGAATTCCTGGAATCCTCTGACCTCTTCGTTGTGCACCTATGAAACACGATAATATGATATAATTGTGTCCTTCAAAATTTTAAGGTTTCTCCACATTCCACCATACAGAACCAAAATAAACCTAAATTCTACAGTAAAGCCAATAAGTTAACCAGAACAGCCTATTAATTGTCACTTGTTTAAACTAGACACAATAGAAATCCTAATCTTCATATAAAAAATAAACTTTTTCCACCACTGATCTCCTCAATACCACACTGAATCACTAATTGAAACATGCGTAACACTTTCAATTCCGTAATTTAATCCATGAGATCAATGTGCATATATACCTTGTTGTGCATCAGAATGGCACATCCAGGCTCGAGCTGGTCCTTATCGACGAAGGAAAGTATCCCGACGTAGTACTCGGGCCCGACGGACAAGGAGACGATGGCGTGGCTCTCGTCGATGATCTCCTCCAGCGAACCGACGCTCATGGGGGTGCCGCGGAGGTCGTCGACCTTGGATCGGTCCTCCTCCGTCTTATCTTCGCTGGGGCGCAGGCGCTCCTGGCTGGCGACGAACTCCTCTTCCATGAGGAGGTAGTCCTTGACGCGTTCGAGCTTGAGCAGGCGAAGGCGGCACTTTGAGAGCGGCGCCACGGCGGGGAGCCGCGCCGCCGCCTCGGAGCCCTTCTGCCGCTTCTGCCTCCGGCCGACACGGGAAGGGGCGGCGGGTGGTTCATATTTCTTCTCTTTCTTCCCGTCTCCCTGCTTGCGATCGCCCGGGAGCCCGGGCTGTTTGCCCATCCCGCCGGGAGAACCTTGTCCCATCTCCGGCGGCCGTGAATTAGGGTTTGGCTCGGTGTGACTCGGTGAGAAGCAGGAGAAAGACAGGAAGGTACTCCCTTATCCCTCTGTATTCCAAATTATAAAACATTTTCTCTATTTTATAGTATAAAATATTTTGATTTCCTTAGATATATTATTTTAATACATATTTAGATATAATATGGTGTATATCTAGATACGTAACAAAAAAAAATATATACTATCTAAAAAGATCAAAACGTTTTTCAATTTAGATTAGAATAGAGTGAGTACTAGCAAATAATATTCATTAGAAGTGAACGCTACCCATTTTAGAGATGGCATTGGGTTGGATAAAAGCACGCATAAAACAAATAATCGTCAAAAATCCTTGGGTAGCAGGCGACTCGGGGGCACACATGGCGCAGCTTCACCCGCCCAGCTCTGCCGCTCTCTCGCCGCCGCCGCCTCTCCGGCGTGAGCGGCGGCCCATGACAACGCCTGACAACCGGCAACCGTCGCAGCCCCTTCCTCCCCTCCCCGTTACTCCACCACCCTCCTTGGTCCACGCCACTCCGGTGTTTGGGCCGGCCATGGTGGCGGATCCGCCTCCCGGTCCACGGATCCGCCTCTCACGGTGGTGGGCGGTGGCCCCCTCGTCGTGTTGCTCCTCCCGGTCCGGCGTCCTTCGTCTTGTGGGGCGCATGGCTGCTCGGGCACCCCCCCTGCTACCTCTGGCCGGTGGTGCCGAATCCGCCCTCCACAGGTCCGGATCGCCACTCGCGGATGGTGGCGCCCCCCTTCGGCGCGGTTCCTCCCACTCAGCCCGTGCCGCCGTGTTATGGGCGCTTGGGAGCTTCAGGCGCCTCGCTATCTCCGGTGGTAGGTGGGCGGTGGGGCGGATCCGCCCTCCACAGGGTCAGGTCGAGCATTGCTGCGGTGGTGGCGGCATCCTCCCTTCTTTGCATCATGGCTCCCCGAGCCCGTGTGGTGCAGTGGGTGGCGTGTGGGTGATTGTCGGACTTCAGCGGTTGGCGCTTGTGGTGGCGGTGTCGGGGCCGATGAAGTGTTCGCCGTTGGGGTTCTTTGAGGGCAAGCTTGGGGACGTTAATCCTCTTGGATGCTTCTCCCAACGAAGTTGGCGTCCGTGGATGTCATTCCCTTCTTGATGGCTTTCGTTGATGCACTCTACCGATCCCCCATTGCTCTTGTCGGAGTCGCTCCATCCGTGTTGTTGCATGCATGTATAGTCAAGCGGTGGAGGGCGGGGGTGGCGTGCCTTCAAGACTCCTGTTTTTTTGTTGTGCTCGATGTGGGCGAGCACCGCGAAGCTTTCATGTCGGATCTGTCGGCAAGGCAGCGGCGACGCCTTGGCGCGTCGTCTCCCTCCTTGGAGGCGTTGTCATGGTGTTTTTCCCTCCGACCGACCGCAATGGTGCGTCGGTTGTCTTGCGTGGTGGCATGGCCGACAACGGCTTGCTTGGATGAGTGCCAATGACGCTGCGTGGTGGTGTGGTCGGCAATAGCCAACCAGGGGCACCGATGGCGCCATGGTGGCGTGGTTGGAGGAACTGGCCGCTTCCTCAAGGCCAAGAGGGCGCTTCTTGAAGGCCAAGAGGTGTTGCCGCTTCTCCACTGTCATTGCTGCGGCATGGGGGCGGCGGTCTGTGGGCTGGACCGTCGGTATTGTTGCTGCTCTACTACGCCTATCTCGTGCTTCAACTCTATCTTCACATTGGTTTGTCCTTCGGTGTTTGTTGTTGCCGCTGTCGTTCGGTTCGTTGGCGGATGCTTTTGTCATTGTTGCTACTTGGGTGGATGCTTGGCCACCTCGTCGCCCGGTCTCCACGCTCATTCAACTCTTGGCGTGTGATGGCCCTCATTTACGGATGCTTTGTCGTAATGGTCCTTTTCGGCGGATGCTTGGCCGCCGTGGTGAATTTCTTCTTGTGCGGATGCTTTTGCCGCGGTTGTCGTCGTGCGGCTCCCTTGGCTTTCTTGGTGGATCTTGGCTAGCAGCAGCTACACTACACCTTAGGCTACCAATGTGTTTTGTCTTCTGTAATAGGCTCGGTCTGTAAGGGTTTGGTGGTGGAGGCCATACCTCCGGTGCTTTCTTGTTGTATCGTTTGTGTTTGTGGGATTGTGCTGGTAATTTTAGGATTACCGGCCAGTCGTTGTTGTTTGGTTCGGTGTTGTCTACTTCCTCTTAATGAAATACGTGCTACACGGCACGTTCGAGAAAAAAATAAAAATAAATTGCATATCACGTAAGATTTTGTATCTGTATATTGAGGTGAGATTTTTTATCTATACCCATCGAGTATAATACCCGTGCGTGTATATACCCACAAGTTAAATTGTCATTAGAATAAATAGAATAGAATTAATTATATCTGTATCACCGGCAGGCCGCGGCTACACCAAAAAAAAAAGAATTTTTTTCTTTTTTCTTTTGCCATTTAATCTCTCCACACTTCACACTATTACAAACTAGAGGCAAATGAACGTCACAATTCAAAATCACAAAGTTAAAAAAGTAAGAATAAAATTACTCTACACTTTAAAGTAGGAATAGAAACACGAATTTCCCATTACAGTTTACCCTTGTTCCTTAAAGACCCCTCCCTCCGCACCTGATCTGTAGCTATCTCCACGCATTGTTGGCTCCATACATGACCTTCTTAGCACCCTCGGTGTAACATCATACATCATTTACTAAAATATGTCATGATCATCATGTTTATATGTTAATGCATGTGAAAGAATGTGTAGATAAATTTTTTGTAACTTAAAATGATCAATAAAAATGTTAAATAAAAGTTGATTCAATAGCTCATGTATATCAAGTAGGGTTGAAAACTAATTTTTTTATTAAGCAAAAATACTATAGAACATGTGTGTGATACTTAAATAAGGTTTGAAGTACAAACTTTGTAGATGACAGTGAAATATTTGTTGTTGAAAAATAATATTACTAGCTAATATTTCTACTAGCCTCGAAATTGCAAATTGAAAGTTCAGCTCAAAAACCTAGAAAATTTTCAAGTTTGTCAACAACTAAATGTTGCTATATTTAGCAAATTATTTTAAGAAATTGAGTTAAGAGGTGGTGTCGTGTTTTAGCTCAGATTGGTAGCCTAATAGGCCCTCTTTAGTATAGTGAAGGCGGTTTAGTGTCAACCTCAACAGTTTAGTTGCTATCGACGCTTTAAAATTCGTGCGCGGCACGTTCTCGGATTGGCTCGCCGGGTGGATGCGGTCACCAGGCTCGGGCGCTCGGCGTCACAGCACTAGCCGCACGTGGCCAGCCGTGGCTGCCTCTGGCCTGGCTGCGGCCCAGCCACCGCTGGATCCGTCGCACGAAGTCGCTGCTGCTGTGGCCTGCCCTGCCCCGCGCCGCGACGAAGCCACTGCCAGCGCCATCACCTCGCCGTCGCGTCCGCACTGCTGTCCTGCCTCACGTTGCCGCTACCGACGCCACTGCGACGCTGTGCTGCGTTGCCGCTCGCCTTGTCCTCGCACGCACGTGGGCTGTTCCCCGCGCTCTCGCGCCGTCGCCTTGCCTTAATGGCGTTGTGGTCGCGCATGCCGCACCCCCAACTGCCTCCGCGCGCGCACGTGGTCTGGCCACGTTGTCGCGTAGCGGGTGCGCAGACACCGCCTCGGGTCCGACCGGCCGCTTGCCGCCAAGGCAAGGACGAGCCGAGCCAGACCTGCCCCTCCCTCTCTGTCACCGCGACCGGCCGACCCCGCTCGCTTAATTCGGCATGGTTGAGTCACCATCGCTCGATTCACCACGTCCCTGGATTCTCCATTAAGTCACCCGACCCCCGACCCTACCCAACTTTGAAGCGCGCACGACCAAGCTCCAATTTTGGAGTTTCCCCGCCACCGTGCCGATAAGGACGCGTCCGGCCGTGGATGTGAGCAGCCCTTCTACCGTCTCTCCTGAATAAATTCACCTGCGCCACTAGCATAGCCTTAACTCCTTCTTCACCCTGCGCGCCTTAGCTGAACCGCTACCACCTCCCCATCGTCGCTGACGCGATCGTGACACCGTGGTGCGCCGCTGCACGTCTCGGCCGCACGTAGCTAGCCCTTCTCCATCACCCTCTTCTCCAACCGTCACCTCGGCTAGGTCCACGGTAGCCTCCTGATGCTCGTGCGATAACCGATTAAGTCTGTAGCTGCCCCAGCTCACCGGAACAGTGGTGTCGGGGATCTAATACCGGGGTACCCCAGAAGGTGGAACCAATAACCACCGAACGTTAAAAACTTCTAGACGCATAAGAGCGTTGCTTCACCCCTCACTGGAATGACAGGAGCTTTGTTCCACCTTGCCCGATGCCTTTGGGGTGGGCTCGGTCTCGCCTGAGGGCCGAGGATTAGTCTCCGCCTCGCCCGACGCCTTTTGGACGGGCTCGATCTCGTCCGAAGGCCGAGGGATAAACCCCGACTCGCCTGACGCCTTTGATGTGGCTCTGCCTCGCCCGAGGGCACAGGGCTAATCTCCGTCTCGCCCGACGCCTTTAGGGCGGGCTCGGTCTCGCTCGAGGGCTGAGGGATAGATTCCGCCTCGCCCGACCCTGGAGGAGTAGGGTCGGTCTCGCCGAGGAGATAGGGATTGGTCTCCGCTTCGCCCGACGGCAAGGAACAAGCCTCACTCTGCTCCATATCGAAAGATTGGATTCATCTTACCTGACCACTTCTCCTTGTTCCCTCAAGATGATAGAGACAGGGCAAGACAAGACGTTCAGGTCAACCGTGGCTCCAAGAACCATACCCTGCACCCTGGCAGGAAAAGTACTGCCAGGGGATGACGGGACGGGCGCTTTAGGCCCTTCCAGGCGCCGCAGAGCCCGAAAGGTGCTACAGGTGCGAGCTCTCCACCCTGTAGAGTTGTAGGCGCCGCCTTCAGCTCTAGGACACGGAACCCGACGAAGATATACGACAACCGCTACGCTCCAGAAAAGGATTTGCTATCTCCACGAACGACGGATGTTTCGTCACCACGCTATGGA